GGGCCGGGGGCGCGGGGGGGGGGGGGGGGGGGCCGCCCCCGCCGGCGCCAGCCAGCCCGGGCATTGCGGCTGGCATCACCCAGCTGTGAGAACAGGCTCCCGGCCCTCTGGCTGGGCTGGAGCTCGCAGCCGCGTTGCTCTTGGTCCCCAGAATCCAGAGTCGTTTTTCTGGGTACACTGGGTTAACAGTTCAATTCTTCAGACCTCTGGTAACGGGAAAAGATCGATAGCAAGGACGGTAATCACCCTGTCTTTCGGCTAGCATGAAATACAGAGATACAAAATTTTCCCCACAACTTTTGAGTCCCCAGGGCTCAGCAAGGTGTTTTTGCAATCTTCCCAGGCCTCTTCTCTTCTCTCCTCTTCCAGCCCTTCCCCTTTCCTCTGAGATTAAAACTGTTATGCAGCCTTTAGATAAAGCAACTTGGTATCGTAACAAGTATCTTTACTTTGTCTTACTTGAACTATGTCATCTGGGAAACTGTCTGGAAGCAAATACTTAAACTCGTTTTGAATGAATATGTAGGCAAATGTCTTCCACATTTAATAGCAACATCATGAACTGCAAACGATAACCCACTGTCAAAGTTCAAGCCCTCTGACTCTAGCGGGTATTTATATTTTCAGATATTCCTGTTGAGGTTTCAATACTATCTTGCCAATGGCAGGCTCTGGATTATTCTCCTTTTGACTGTGTACTAACAAGCAATTGAAAGCATTTGTAATTTGCGTAGACATTAATGAACCATTTCAGGAGTTTCCTCTTTAGCATATCATTTTCTTAGATGGACTACTAGCGCAAAAACAAAGGCCTGAAGAAATATCCTGTGTCTCAGGGCAAGTCACACTAGTAGCACTTTGATGGGGTGGTGCACCAGCACACGATATCAGTATTTCTATATTGGCACAGCAGTTGCAGTGCAGCCATAGAGACTGAGAATTCAGGCTCCAGAGATCTCTGGTTATGCAATGGTATAATACAACATATGTGGGTGGGTGTAAGCCTGAACCCAAAACAGCATGGTTACTGAAGATATACTGCATCGCTGGTGCTCATACTGCTGTTCCCTCACGGGTTCAGTCACTATGTGTTGAATATTCTGCTGTAGACAAGGCAAAAAGATTTTTTTTCTCAAGCGTGTCTGAAATTATCTAAAGTACAAGCAAGTAGCTTGACATTTTGTAGCTTCCTGCAGAGGATCCTCACACCCTACACTAAAAACAGTATTGTTTATTCAGAGCATCTCACAGTCTCCCCGTGTAGCCTGTTGATTTGTTGCTCTTGTGGATGGCAAGAAGGAGGGGCAGAATTCAGATTTCACTGGCAACATTAGCTTTAGTACTTCCTGGCTTAGAAGTGCCTACTAGTGGGATTTGTGTGGGATTTTTTTTATAGAAATGTAGTAAAGGATTGTATTAATGTAATGAAATAGTGTAAGTTTACAAATTTTTAAAAGACTGAGTCAAGAAGAAGCTGAAATCAGTAGGAGGGTTTTTATTATCGTGTTATGAAAGTCCTTGTAAACTAGATTGTTAATATAATGGTAGATCCATAATAGCTCAAGAGAAGGTTGTAAATGGGATGATGTCCTGCAATCCAGTTTTTGACAGAGTAAGGAGACAAGCGTGTGTGAGGAAGAAACCTTTTACTGCAGGGAGACATTCTAGGAAATATGCTGGCAGCCCATACCAGACTTCATGTTGAGTGTCCGGAGAAAAACAAGTTTTCCTCTCCAAAGTCAATACACAACTGATAGTCGCGTTTTGTCTTGGTCATGTTAGCGCTGAAGTAAGTACTAAGTACTCAACTTAGTAACCTCTCAGGAAATTTTTTACATTACTTTGTCTGCCAGCTGTTAATTATCAATATCTGTCCATTAACAAAGCACCACCCTTTCATTAAGCTGGCTCTTCCAGCCATGTTTGTTCCATGTAGTCTTAGTCCACTGGCCGACACTGTAGGCTTTCTTATTTTATCATGAGCATTAAATATGCTCATGACATCTTTGAATTAGTCATTTGGGTGAAACAGTTTGAGTGTACAGGAAGCACTTGTTTAGTTACCAGTAGAAATCTTGATGAAAAAAAAAAAAGAGAGTTCAGTATGATTACGAGAAGATATCAGTTTGTTATGTTGATTACAGTGTGGGCAAGGACGATTTGAAAACTCATTGAAAGTTATAGGAGACACTTCATATTTTGAATAGGTCTTCAATATAATTTCTATAATTTTGCTGTCACACAGGTCTGATTTTTTTTTTTTTTTTTTTGCAGTGGCTCCTTAAAAGTAATTTGTTAACTCTATTCTTTGTTATTTTGAATTGGTTGGCTAACTGGATCAGCAGTGGGACGCAGCACTTCAACTGTGTGCCATTGGTACAGATCCCAGCTGAAGTCATGAAATAGCTGGCTTAATGAATCATTAATGGAATTCAGAACATTCTATTTCTATGCCACTGGTGCAAATCCAAGTAAGGTCAAGAGACTAGCTAGCTCAGTGGTTCAGTAATACGAAACAGACTTCTACCTCCAGCTTTTTGATGCAAGTCTATACAAAGCTTTTCTAAAGCAGGTGTCAGTTTAAAGTCAGTCTATTATACGTGATTACTTTCTGATACATTTCAATAGTCTGTATGGATCTATAAGTTTTGAAAAAGATTAGTATAAACATTTTCTGTGTAGCCACTGACATAGCACAACATTCATCACTCTAAAAGAAGGTACAAGAGGTGATTTCTCTAAACAATCCCTTCCCTTAGGCAAGTGTCTAGGGAAAAGACGGAACATGCACCACATTTTAGCAATGTACAGCTAGCAAACCATCTGAATGTCCTAGTGGCCCATACTATAGTCCATCCTTGCCACACCATCTTTGCCAGAGGCCTCCTGAGAACCCTCTCTGGGTTTACACCTCCAGTCAGGAGTAGGAACACAGCTTCAGTGACTGTCCTAACTATCAGTGGGAGGGAAAATGTGCTTTGCTTAGGGTAAAACTGCATTACTCCTTGCATTGCATCAACTTTTGCAAGGTCAGATTTGTCTATTTAGCAAATAGCCTATGTCTGTGAGATTACAGAATGAGAGAAGCTGTTAACTCTTCCACTTGGTAGCAAACTATATCACGACTTAGCTCATACCTAATTGCAATATGGGCATTTGCAGCAATGACAGGCGTGTGGAAAACTCCAAAGGAAAGGTGGCCCTGACAGACGTCCATGCATACAGCCTCTTTCCCTTTTTTTTTTCCCTCGCTGCCTCCTCCTACTCAGCTACCTACTGTGGTGCTGTGGTATAACTTTTGAAATGGCACCATATGCTCAAGGATACAACCTCACATATATTCTCAGAAACAACAACATCTGGAAGAGTGAAGTTTACTGAGCTTATATGGTATGGCTTTGATGGCTCTGTGATAGTTAAAACC